AAATCGGAACTTCGTGGTTCTGCGCAGATTTACCAGTCAGACACGACATCTCAAGGTGGAAAAAAACTCGCTGAAAGCGAATTTTAGAAATCAACACAACTTGACGTGGAGACATGATTGGCTAAAAAATACAACGGTTTTTGATACATCGGAAAATCAACCAAAAATCGAAGACTGGGCGAAACGCTCAAGGTCGCAGAGGCATAAGGAATCCCATAGCGATAGCAACGGAACGATTGTAATATCATGGGGAACTCCGTTCCCATGACAATAATTGTTATCGAGATTATTTAGATTAAAAGCAAGACTAATCTGGAGCTCACGCACTCGTGATTTTAAATATTGGGCAGTTCAAGAAGTCACCATAACGCGAACTGAACTAACAGCACCTATCGTCATTGACGAAATAATTCGCAGTAAAAACATATCATCCATCGGTTTTGCCGCACGTTCCATCGAACTATCAATTGGACTGCATTTTGCGATTTGGAACTATAAATTCTAGCCCGGTTTAAGAACAACGTATGTGCCATTAGTTTCCCTATGCACATAAGTGTTTTTCCAGAAGAGCTAGAATTTATAGTTCCAAATTGCAAAATGCAGTCCAATTCATTATATTTATTTTTCTATTTTATTTTACATTCAACAGTTCAGCATTCCTGTATGTTTTGCCCGTTGTACGTGATAATTTTATGATCATGCTGATGTGCGTAAAAAATGTTTTAATTAAAAATTTATTGGGACGTGTGAATTTTCATCTCAAGTAGTTAACTACTTGAGATGAAGATTCACACATCCCTTTGTAGTATAGCCCTCTCTATGACTTTACAGTACTAACCTCAGAAAATACTTCTTTTATCATTTTAAGGGGAGTTCGAAAGAATCAGTTTCAAGGCAGTGAATACCTCATTCGCGAAGAGTGTCAAATTCAAGATATTGCCAAATGGACCAAGATGCGCCGAAAAATGTGGTCGGAACATGTTGAGAGGATGGACGGGGAAAGGCTTGCCAAGATTTGTATGATGGGACGACCTCATAGCCAAAGGCAACCCGGACGCCTGCCCAAGAGATGGGCACAGAGCTGCCTTTCATCCCCGGAGAATTAATCCTCTCTCATCGCCATCATATTTTATTTATCATATTTATAAACTAATTTAGAGACTAGACAAACAGGGCCACGGCCCTAGTCAGAAGGTAGAAAGAAGAAGAAGTAGAAGGAAGAAGAAGAAGTAGTAGAAGAAGAAGAAGAAGAAGAAGAAGAAGAAGAAGAAGAAGAATACCTCATGAGAATTTGGAGGAAGCAGGATGTCGTCTTGTAGAATTTTTTCAGGCTCTGGGTATTTAACGCGCGTAAAATTCCTCGAGATCGCCGAACTTTGAGACATCAGTGCAGCAAGTGGGAAAACAGCCGCGCAAAAAATCCGCGCCATTTTCTTCCAACAACAGAAACGGGCCAAAAAAATGAATTTAATGAGATACAATTTTTTTTATGGCGATCACAAAACTTATTCCTGTAGAATTTGATTTGATTGCGGTACCGATCGCTGAAGTTTAGCAAACTACCGCCCGATTGACAATATTATGTTGCGATGTTTTGGCAAGATGACGCAGATTATCAGCCGGCTAGCTAATGGCACCTGCAATTAGGAGACAGTGGGCAGTTTTATCTACTGAAGAAACGGTTTTTAGAACCGATTCATCCTCAGAGGCTTAGATCTAGGTCAAAGACCTGTTTACTTTTTGTCAATCAAGCGTGTCGACAGCTAAAGTCAAGATACCTACGCATCACCGATTGCGATTGTGCATTGCCAAAAATGAAAGAGGACAATTGAAAAGCCAAAAGACGGGGATTTTAATAGACAAAAGATTAGAATTTTTTGCAAATAGACGTGTTTGATTACTCTGCTTTGCACCACTGATCCTGGTTTTAACTTGCTACCCGTATACATAGTCTCCCGCTCCGTCAATATCGTATACCTTCCCTATAAACATATGTAACCATACTATTATAGTCCTTTCATACTTTGAAATATTTTTTATTTTTTTATTGTATTTTTCTCCAAAGTTTGGAAGTAGGGTGGTTTGGAGTCCAAACCACCCTTACGAATAAAATCCCTTATAAATTCGTAAAAACAGATAGCGTTTAGCAAAAGGTTATCTTCCCATCCAAGTTGCTTAGTCCAATGAAACAATTTAAATAAAATTGCAATTTCATGCAATAAATGAAAATTCAATACTTTAAAACATTTGGTCAAAAAAACCGATTTTAATCAACCGATAATATGAGTCAATGTCTTAGGAACATTAGCGATTTGCACGCAAAGAAACATTGCAATTTACGTCAATTTTATTGCAATATAGCTTTCGATAAAAGGAGCCTCTTCAATCGGTAGATAGGCAACCTACACGATGCACCGATGCAGCAGTAATGCTATCTGTGCGACTTGGGTAATGAGTATTTTCAAAAAGAAACTTGCCGCAATCAGGTTGTGTCTAAAGTCATTCTATATACAAGAGCAGGGCCGGATTAAGGGGGTGGCCACATGGGCCGCGGCCCATGGCGGCAAATCTAAGGGGCGGAAAAAATTTGCAATTTTTTAAAGTGTAGGTATAAAAAAAAATCGGATTTATAAAAACAAAATTACAAACGAGAAAAGGCGACAAAATCTCTCATTTCCTGAGCGTATAGTAATTTCTAATTTTGTCGTCTCTTAGTAATACAAGAGACAGCACCTTCAATAAATCGAGTTAAGAGAGAGACCGAACACGCAATTTGGTCTGGAAATGATAACGAAGACTTCAGATGAAAAGAAGAGGCCCTCGGAGCGGCGCGGCGGTCGGCATGTAACACATATTAGCGCCTACAAGACTGCACGAATACTTCACGCATTTCATCAAACACGGTGCGGTCATTGCGGTCAGCGTGAAACGGATAGCGCCTACAAGACTGCGTGAATACTTCACGCGTTGCGTCTAACACAGTGCGTACAGCAGCGGTCGGCGTGAAACGCATAGCGCCCACAAGACTGTCGGAATACTTCACGCATTGCGCCAAACACGGTGCGGTCTGCAGCGACGGAAGTTAAAATCATTGATCCACATTTATGTTTGTTCTTTCATGATTTTTTCGTGAATTTCTTATGAATGGGAGGCCTTGTCCACACAGGGATAGGTTAACAGAACTTAACTTTCGCGCAAAGTAAAAGTTCCGTGAACTTTTGCTAGTAGTGTTGACAGGGCTTTCCTAAAAAATGTGTTCAACACGAGTAAATGCGTCTTATCCACCCCTCCCCCGCTGACACGTTCATTTGATGGTTTTTATCGAGTTTCAAAACGAATGAGAAGGGGGCGGCAAAATACAGGCGGCCCATGGGCGGCAAGTAGGTGAATCTGGCCATGTACAAGAGGCAATGCACAATAGATCGTTTTTAAGCCCAAGGGAACTATATTCATTGTGATAGGAGCTATTTTGTGCACGGATTTTCATGGATCTCAGGGCTTATATCAGAGTGGAAACAGTTCCTTTTGATGTAAATACTTCCAACAGCAATAGAGGATTAAAATCGGACGTATTTATGCTAAAAGAAGCTATGTGTATAGGAGTTGAGTGGTACATAGTTCCTATTAGTATAATTACACCAGTTGTTATAATCTCTTGGATGACCTTGATGTAGGACTTTTTACTTTCCACATTTTTCTGCAAATGTGAAAGTACTTACTGTGAAGAATTGAATTTAGCTGATGGGTCATACCTATAAAAGGACCTTCATAAACCCAAGTGTCAGTGAAATTTAATGGAACCTTAGGGTTTTTACGAGTGCTCCCTGCGCTTTCCGGTTGCCTCACTAAAAAAAGTTCGGTCATTTTAACCAAAAGTACGGTGTCCCACAGCCCTACCGGCCGTACTTTTCAGTTCATGTGATCATACTCTTGATTCCCAGAACCAAAAGTGCGGTTTCATGAACCTAAAGCACGGCCGACATAGAACACCGTGTTTACGGTTCATACGTTGTACTTTTTTTCATAGCATATGTTTATCCTCATCGATGATGTGGCTTCGGAATAAGTTAATTTAAACTTCACGAAGGAAAATTACCCTCCAGTGGGGAAGTTTATCGAGGAAGAACTCATGAGGCAAGTACCCGACGCGATCTTGAACCACTTCAAATTTGCAAAGCTTAATGCATCGAAGATGGGTTCATCGTTTGCACATTCAGAGGAATTGGTCCACAGAGCTTGGCACCTCTGAAATTGACGTATTTCTACCAAACGGGACCATATGCATTAAAACATGAACCCTGAGACCCATATGAGAATAAATGAATGACAAGGCTCACGTCATGATGCAGATAGTTCCGTTTGGCAGAAACACGTTCGAAAGAGTGAAGAGAACGAATAATTTATTTAAAGAGCGTTGCACGATCTGCCGAGCTCGCAAACCGAATGGAAACTTCGCAACTTGCAAAATCAGGAAACACCTGAACGAAAAGTGCAATCTGTATGGATGTCTGCGGTTTTTGTGAGTAATTATGCAAGTTCTTTGTGTTAGTAAAGTGTGCCATCATTCCAGTTCGCGCAGTCGTTCTGGATTTCTGAATCTTGGGATCTAGGACCCGAACTGAGCATATCGGCGGGGAAACTCTCAAACCGCGTATCTCAGTTTGCGAAGATGCAGACTCCTCTTAATTCTCTCTTTTTTAAGTGGAAATCCACCCAACGTCAATTCCTTAAAACTCCCGTAATTTTTCTTCACCATGCGAAAACAATTCTGTAAAAACTTCAAGGCATAATGTTGATTTGTTCTCCTTAAAAGAAAAAAAAGAAGAAAAGAATGGGAGTGAAAATTTTAAAACATTGGGGACAAGATATGTGCTTTGGGAGTTTCACCGTCGCACAGTGGATCGAATCAATGGGAGAGGTAGGAAAAAGTTTGGAAACTTTAATAGCCTATAACTCCGTCCATACAAAACTTTGAGGGTTTAAAAAGGCGGTTCCATTGGTTCCCTCGGAAAATTTTCTTTTAAAAGCACCCCTTAAAATTTAAAACGTGACGAATTAAACATCATAATTTGAAGTTTTGGTTAAAAATTTCACGTCCGAACTCTCTGATTGACTCGATCCACTGTGCGTCATTATTTGTTCTGCTATCAAAACTGCATCACTGCTGTAAATAAAAGAGAGAAAACGAAGGGGAAAAAGCGAAAAGGAAGAAAAATCAAGGAAAAAGATGAACTTCATAAGATGTGCACTTTCAATTTTTCGGGTATTTTCCCGCCTTCACTTATTTTGTAAATTGAATTAAATAACTTTGGCTGTCTCAGAATAAACCCGATAAGAAAATTATTAGAGGTACAATTGGGCCGCGTTGGGTAGAAAGGAATCTATAGCCGCATCAGCTATTGCCAAACATAATTTTTTACATGAAAACGGTTGGGCGGATCTTTGTGCAAATTTAAGCAAATTTACTGCATATTACGAAGCAAATTCCTTAAAATGTTGAAAGGAATCCGCACAACCGTCCTCTTGTGAAACATTAAATTCCCCGATTAAATTTTGCATTAGCTAATGTGGCTTGGTCCCTTCCTCCTAAATGCGGTCCACATTTGTATTCAACATTTTTAGGGTTATTTTCCCACAAACTCTAATTTTTTAAATTTAAGTGATTCCAGATGCTAGAGAATTCCGGGTTTCTCGCAATAAACCCAGTAAGAAAAGGAATCCGCACAACCGTCCTCTTGTGAAACATTAAATTCCCCGATTAAATTTTGCATTAGCTAATGTGGCTTGGTCCCTTCCTCCTAAATGCGGTCCACATTTGTATTCAACATTTTTAGGGTTATTTTCCCACAAACTCTAATTTTTTAAATTTAAGTGATTCCAGATGCTAGAGAATTCCGGGTTTCTCGCAATAAACCCAGGAAGAAAATAATTAGAAAGCCACTTTTTCTCCGTGTAACTGATCCCAATACGTCGTTCCTCGGACGAGGGAATGTAACGCCATTCCAGAGTTCCAAAATTTACCTAAACAATTCAATGTTTCACAAGAATACACCTATGCGATTTTCGTCCAAATTTTGTCAAATTTTCACGTGAGATCTGAAGAAAAATCAGTGGAATTCTCAGTTAGAAATGCCCAAGATTTCCCCGTTAAAAACGCAATTTGCGAGGAGAAATTTGCCAACATTGAATTTTAGTTACGTTCTTTCGCGAAGGGAAGGACGACTACTGCCGTGCTAAAGAAGAACGTCGTATGAACACTCCAGAGTTGCCAGATTCCCTCCAATAAAATTTTATCTTTGCCACGGAAATTTACGAGTATCTTTCCTCGACATTTTCAGGAACTCGAAGTGAAATAGCGAACTAAATTATCCGAAAAATTAGAAAAAAGATATTCCTAGGTAAGTTTTACTCTGCCGTGCTAAGGAAGAACGCTGTATGAACATTCGAGAGTTGCCAAATTCCCTTTGTTAAAATGTTTATTTCTGAGAAAAAGTATGAATGTCTTTCCTTGAAATTTTCAGGAACTTGAAGTGAAATAGCAAACTAAATTATCAGAAAAATCAGAGGAAAGATATTCCTAGGTTTTCTCGAAAATTCACGTTATATCGAAAGAAATTTGGCAACGCTTGAGGGTTTATACGGCGCTTTTCCTTAGCACGGCGGAATAGTGTCGAGCGACGACGCGGCAACAGCGCCTCGTTGAGCTGATTCAATAAGGCCGGCAAGAGAGCGCGTTGAAAGGCGAATTAGATGATGTAAAAATGATTAAACGATTTAATCATTTCAATTAAACGCAGTGCGGGAATGGAGTCAAGATGTGTCCTCTTAATCGCAGCATTTTAAGGGTTGCCCGGAGGATCGGGACTTGTGCGTGCGGATGGGATGCGACGCGGGATGGGAACGGGACGAGGGACACAAGGCTTTGATCCAGTCCGGGGAGGAGGAGGGGGGGAGGGGGAGGGGGGTC